CTGAGGCTCAGAGGGGGAAGAGGTCACTTGCGTGGAATTGAAACCTGGATCCTACTGAGCCTCAACTTTCTCCCCTTAACCACCCCATGCCACTGGGAGTGACCACCCAGAGCTGTTTTCTGGGGGCCGTGGGGGGGGCAGCCCCTGGAGACTTCCCCCTGGTCAGCGAGGGGGGGGTCCGGGGGGGCCTGGATGGAGGCGGGGTGGGGTCTGGTTGGCTGTTTAGCTCAGTTCACCCCGGCCTGCTCTGGAGCCAGCCAGAAACAGTCTCAGTGTGGCAAAGGCTAAATGGGCCGGTCGGCACCCAAGGGGACCCCCTAGGTGAGCGACATCCCCAGGAAGCTCGGACCACCTTGGTTTCAGGACCAGCCAGGAACCACTCACAATAGCATAGACTTCTATTTAAAAACACCAGGCTGAGCGGAAATAAGGTTACTGCCTGGGGGCAGACCTCCTTCCGGAGGAGGAGGGGAGGCGCAGGGGGCCGGGACCTCAGCAGCCCCCGAGGAAGCGGAAACCAGGCTGTAAACTCTGGCAGGAGAGGAGGTGAAAGAGGGGCCCTGGCTGGCGGGGTGGCGGGCCTGGACCGGGTCCTGCCTCCCGGGACCTCTGCTTCGTCCGAACCGGGCCGGCAGGGCAGGATGCGGCAAATGAAGGAGGCCGGTCAACAACGGCTCCCAGAGGTCCCCATCGGAGGGCAGGGGCTTCCAAGGCGGGGGCTCCCAGGGGCTCACAGAGGACTCTCGGGTTGGCCTTGGTGACAGCAAGGGGCAAAGAGGGCTTCTATTGACTTAGCTCATTTTCTTTCAAAAATCACCCTCAACCTAGGATTTCCCTTCTGGGAGTCTAGTCTAAAAACTGATTTAAAATACAAAAAGAGCTTTGCAAGCAAGGCTGTTCGTCACTGTGCGGTCAGCTCTGCCGCCGCAACACTTTGAAAACACCACCTTTGTTCCAACACCGCTGGTTATCAGGGAGCAATTTTATCAAGATGTTCAACTCTCGTCTGCTTATCTGCAGTTTTATCTGCCAGAAACACGAGGTGATCGCACAAACCCACACCCAGCTGCACCCGGGGACAGGAGCTCACAGATGGCACAGCACACACCTCGCGCGTCTGTCAGCCACACCCGGCCGCAGCCGGGGCCCCACCGGCCACACGTTTCAGACGACACTCCTTCCACCCTTTGGAAACGAGACCCTTCCTGCGCCCACCGCCACGACCACCCCGAACGCCCTTTCCACTGCACAGCGCCCTGTTTGGGGTAATGTTTTTGTATTTCTTATCCGCAAAACTTGCGTAAAACTGTGCTACTGGTATTTTAGGTTCCTATCTTTTTTTTTTTGTAATGTGCTCCTGACGAAGTTTTTTTGCATGTTGTGTCCTTATCTCCATTTTTCTCATGAGGCCTCTGGTTCTTACTGCGGGATTTTACTCAGTTTGGGGGTTTTTGGGACAGACATTTACCTTATGGCAGAACTGACTGTAACGTGTAAAATGCTTAGTACAGCGCCTGGCACGTGACAAGCGTTTAATCAACTTTATTAATAGTAAAAAAGAGGAGACTTAAATATTCAATAAGATTAAGATCAGGGGAGCAGTGAGCCATCGCGGTAGGTGTGCGCCAAACATCGAGAATAACGGGAAGAGGTTTCAGGAATGAACATAAAACACTGTAGATACGGATGATTTCAACCCTGCAATTAAAAAATATTTTTTCACCATAAAAATCGATAAAGTCTGGAAGGAAATACATCAAAATGTCAAAAGCAATTGATGGCACTTAGGGGGATTTTTTTTTTTCTTTTCAATTAAAAAAATGTTTTGTATATACTCGCAACTTTGCAAAATCATAAACCTTTTAAAAACTTAAGGATGACATAAGAGGAAAACCAGAGCAACTTTCAAGCAGCAGAAAAATCATCTCAGGCTGCTAAGCCAACGCTTCAGGCCGCACACCCCGTCTACGGTGGCACGCGAGTCTGTCTTACCCTCTGCTGTGACTGCACGTGCCCGCTGAAGGCAGCTCTTTCCCCTCAACATGGTATCAAACGCTTCCTGCCCTTCCCAGCTTGTGTTCAGAATCGAGGTTATTCTTAAGGACAAGAATTTTGAAACCATATAGCTTGTGAACTTTACTTTGTATCCAGTAATGAACTAGAAACGATTTTCTTCGGAAATCAACTTGCAATCGCATGAGGATTAGGTGAGAACAAGCTTGGCTTTGCACAAAATCAACCCTACCCTCTGCTTTCCCTCCCGAGGCCGACTGACGGCTTCAGGCAGAAGAGGAGAAGGGGGCTCCCGGTCTTGAGATCGCTAATGCTCAGGCTTTGACTTTCTGCAAGATTCTCCTCAGGAAATCTGTAATCAGAGTCCTCCTGATAACTGGCTGACAAATTGGGATTTCTAAGGCTTCCAGCGCCAGGGAAGTCCTCAGGAAGGCCCAGGCTGCCAGGAGAAATGACCACAGTTCTGGGACAGGAGAGGAGACGGTGCTGGCCATCACTTCCCCAGCTCACCGCCATGGTGCCCCAGGCGCCATGTCAAATGGAAGTTCTGGTCCGAGCCATAAAACCTAGCTGGAACTCTGGCCTGGGCTGCCTCAGAGGCCACACAGGAACAACAAAGTGGGAGGGAGTTATGGTCCCTGACTAGAGAGCCTTTAGAAAAGCAACACCGGCTTCAGCCTCAGCGGCAAGGGGCTCAGGAAGTGGCACTTCAACAGGGTAGGGAGTGTGAGTGACAGGGATGGGTCTTCCTCAGCTGGCAACTAAGAAAACTGTTAACTGAAGCCCTGAGCCCTGCGTTCTAGTCCCTCCCTCTGCCTGGGCCCCAGCGTCCTGCGTAACAAGAGGTTGGGTTAGAGCAGAGGGCCACACGCAAAGGCCAGGCAGGTAACATGATAAACTGTCCGGGTATACAACCATCACCCAGCTCTCTTGGTCTAGTCTTCCCTTGTGTTGATTATGAGAAAATCATGGGTTCGGAGGTGGGGGTGGGGGAGCTGTGGAGCAGTCCACAGCTTTGAGAACTAGACCCACTTTAAACAGGGTCCACGTGCTCTGGAGAACGGGGAGACAACCTGTGCATCAGATAAGCTCCCTTGTAGGAAACTTTCAGAGCAGCAGGGAGTTTTATAGGGCGAAAGCACGCGGAAATGACAACCGAAACTGACAGGGGGAAATCTTACCAGCCTAAGCATTTAGGTTTGAAAGAAAATGAACCATATGAAGCCAGGATACACTGGGCGAGGGGGACAAGCCTGCAATTGAAAAACAGCCCCTAACAGAGAAAAAACCTCAGTAAGCCAACAGAAGGCACTAAAAACATACAGTGAACCTTCTGGAGAAAGCGGAGGATGTGCTGAGCTGATCTAGGGTCCAGCTGCCCTCGTTGTGGTCAGAGCACATCTCGAGGGCAGGCTGTCCTGGGAAGGAAGGACACCAGTGGCGTGTCCAGGGGAAGCCACAAGCCTGAGGATGGTTTCCAGGTGCCGCTAAGATGCAGCTCTGAGAAGGGTAAAGCAAAGATGTGCCGAGGGAAGAATGTGCTGGCTGCCCTCACACAGGGGCAGAACCCTCAGGAGGAGAAGGGCAGCAAATCAAGGCAGCCGGAGGGCCCGCGGCGGGTGTCACGGAGCCTACCTCTCCAACAACAGGACCTTTGCCCAGCGGGGAGTGCACCCTACAAGAGGAAGTGCCGCTCAGAGGGGAGGTGGTGAGGTAACAAAACAGGCACCCGGATGGACCTGGCAGGTCTCAAAATTGCCTCTGGAGCAGTGTTTCTCAAACTCTGATGTGCTTAGCAATCACCTGGGGATCTTGTTAAAATGCAGACTCTTAGTGCATCTGCGCTGGGGCCTGAGATTCTGCATTGCCAACCAGCTCCAGGGGATGCTAATGCTGCTCCTCGAGGGACCGCACGTTGGTAACCAGGCTCTAGACCACTTTCAAGGCAGAGAGAGGAAGTCCGGACCAGGCGGGCCTAGAGAAGCCCTCCCTGGGGCCCGGCCTCCTAAGAGGGCAATCCTGGGGTCAGAGTAGTCTACACTCTACAGGAGCCCCTGGGAGGAGGACAGTGGCTTTGTAAGCAGGCACCCTCTTGGAGGTATACAGCAGCTTAGCATGTGGGACTCTCTCAGTAAAGGGTTTCTTGGGGGAAAGGAGAGATCAGGAAAAGGGTGGAGTCAAGTGCTTAGTGTTTGGGTCCCCAGTACACCCAGGAACTCAGAATTTAGTTCACAGGGGCAGGAATCAGACAACGACCTGCTGCAAACGTGTCTAAAATGAATCCCGCTCTGCCCCACCCACCCCTCCACACAAGCTCTCTGCCTCCTTATTCCTCACCGGGAGAGGTGACTGCAGACTGGGACACTCCCCAGCTGTGACTCACCCTCAGAATCAAATCTGACCCCCCGAAGCGCAGGACTCACGAGGCCCCGGCCTCCGCCTCTGCCAGCCCCAGCCCACCTTCCAAGACGAACCCCATCTAGAGCCTCCCTCCTTCCCGTCTCTGGCTCATCTCCAGGTGTGTCCCCAACTCCACCGGTCCCAACTCTTCCAGACGCAGCCAAGTTTCTCTGTCCCCATCGCCTCGGCATTCTCAGAGCGTCTGTGTGGCCTCCCTTAGAAAGTGTACCTACTATCACAGATTTACGGCGGATGCCTCATCTCGGATGCTAACCTCCCATCAGCGCCCCTTTGTCTCCCCCTGCGGCGCCGAGCGCAGTGCCGGGCGCACAGGAAGTGCTGAGAAACTGAGCTGGGGGCAGCAGCCGTGCCCAGAGGGGGCGCCCAGTGCGCAGTTACTCAGCTGGGCTAAGTGAGGGTCCCCCCGAAGAACAAGGGTCACCAGCACAGGCGCCCGAAACCCCGAGTTCAGGGCCGGGCAGCCGCTCTGCGCCCTCCCGAGCCAGGGCCGGGGCTGACCGCGGCCGGCGCCCCTTCCTTCCGGAGCAGCTCCACGCGCCCCTGCCACCCAGCCCCAGCGCCCTCACCTTGTAAACCTTGCCGAAGGCGCCGTCGCCCAGCTCGCCCACGATCTCCCACACTTCGTTGGGGTCCAGGTCCCGGCGGACGTGCTCATATTCGCGGGACTTTCTCTTCTCGAAGGTAGACAGGCGCAGGATGCGGCGGAAATTGGCGAAAGCCATGGCCGGGGGCGCGCGAGCCGGGGGCGAGGTGGCGCCGGCTCCGGCTCCGGCTCCGGCTCCGGCTCCGGCTCGGGCGGCCGCGAGGAGGAGGGCCCGGAGGACGGCGCGGCGCTCGGGGGTTCGCCGCAGACCCGCCCTTCCCCGCAGCCCGACTCCGGTCAAGTGCGCCCTGGGCTGCGTGCACCCGGAACCGCGCAGGCGACCGCGGTCCCCGCCCCCCGCCCGGTCCCGAGCCCGGGGCTGCCTTGCGATGCCGGCTCCGCTCGCGCCGCGCTCCCGCCCCGCCTGCGAGCCCCGGGACGCGTTCCGGCCACCCGATCCCGCGCCGCCCACCGGCCGGGCTCCACCTGCCGCGCCCCGGCAGCGCCCGGAGACCCCGTAATTGGCTGCGGGCGCTCCCCGGCCCCGCCCGGCGCCGCAGGGCACTCTGGAAACTGTAGTCCCCCGCGCGCCGCGCGCCCGCGAGCCGTGGGCTGGGCTTTGGGGAGCTGGGGGACCCCTTGGCGGGACCGTCCCGGGTCCGGGGGCCCCGCCGCGCCGCGTGGCTCCCAACATTCCTGTGGGAGCGAGCGGGGAAGCGGGCTGGGTTTTCGCGAGCGCCCCGTGATTGTTGTCCGAGGGCCGAGAAGGTGAAGCGGTTTTCATCGTCAGGTCCGCCCGACGCCCCCGCGACGCTGCCCGGCCCGCGCCCACTCTACAGCGGGGACGCCTGGCGGGCCAGGGCGCGAGCCGCGGCCACACGTCCTGCCGGCGGGTCCCACGCGGCTCCTCGGCGCGCTGCTGCCTCCTAGCGCCCGACCCGCCGCGCCCCTGCGGCCGCGCTCGCTCCCCGAGGCCTGGCTGTCCCCGCTCGGGTCCTGCCTCCAGGGGCTCCCCCGCCGCGACCCACAAGCCGGCCAGCATCACAGGGCTGGGAGAGAGAGCTCCCTTGGGACTTACTTATCACATACTTCATGAGGGACCTTCAGATGTATGTTCAATTAAGCAAAAACTTTCTTATTCTTAATTTCCCAATTAAAAAAAAACGAGCTCACTACAGATAGAACTGGTCTCGTTTGACCCCCGTGATCCGGGCCGTTCGGCTCGCTTGGCTGCCGCTGTTGCTGCCTGCGTCCGGGACACAGTGACACTTTTTTCTGAATCTACTAGGTGGGTTCCAAATGGAGAGTGCTGGCGGGTCGGCAGCCTGCAAAGCATATTATGGCAACTCTCCCTGAAAATCAATTCGAGCCTCAGCGAATGTCCACTCCGATAGGCCCCACGCCGCCGCGAACGTCAGTGCTGAAGTGTTCTCATCCGTTCTTGAGCAGCGTGCAACACCAAGTGTAGCTCTTTGTAAGTTTGTCAGCTCTTTGCCAAGCCAGTTCCAGAAGCCTGGGATGCGGGTGGTGATCCGCGCCGAGAGTGCCCTGACTAAGGGTTGCCCAGCGGTTTGAAAGGTCCCTGCAGCTTACTGAGCGCTGGAAATTGCGAAGGGTCTTCATCACTAAAAGGAGGACATGCAGCACAGACTCTCTCTCGCTGAGGAAGCCCACGGTCACCCGCCCAGGACACGCTGAAAGGCAGGCCTCTCATTAGTCTCAGTTCATGTGACCAGCTCGGCAAAGGGGGTAGGGGGACAAAGGGGAAGCTTCCCCACGGGAGATGCGGGCTCTGATTTCCCCAAAGCTGTAGGTCTGGGGGTGAGAGGCCCAGCTTGTCCCCAGGCGGGCTCCAAGCCACCCAGGACTCTGTGACTGGCTCTGTGATAGCTCCAGAAACAACGAAATGAGAAACAAAAATGGGCAGGTTCCCTCAAAAACATGTTGAGTGAAAGAAGCCAGACACACAAGACCACACGTTAGATGATTCCATTCATATGAAATGTCTAGAAAAGGCAAATCCACAGAGACAGCAAGTAGATTAACGGTCGCCAGGGGCTGGGCGTGAAGTGGGGATTAACCAACTGTAAATGGTAAATTTGTCAGAAACCAAACAGAGAGGTTCAAGAAAGCAAAGCGACTTCTCTGAAATAACTTAGAAAAGACTGGTCAAAGACAACAAAAAAGACTCAGAGAGAGGAAACATAGTCACCAGAGACCATGAAAATAGGGGCATGCTATTAGGTACTGTGGAGATTCTGAAATCATTAAATGATATTTGGAACAAATTTATCTGAATCAATTTTAATGTACATGAAATGAGTAATCATCTAGAAGAAAATATAAATGATATATAAATATATAAACGATAAATAATCTGTAAAAGATACAGATAATTTCAGTAAGAAATAAAAAGCCTAGGGGCCAGCCCGGTGGCACAGCAGTTAAGCGCACACCTTCCGCTTCCGCCGCCCGGGGTTCGCCACTTTGGATCCCGGGTGCGGACATGGCACCGCTTGTCAAGCCATGCTGTGGCAGGCGTCCCACGTATAAAGCAGAGGAAGATGGGCAAAGGTGTTAGCTCAGGGCCAGTCTTCCTCAGCAAAAAGAGGAGATTGGTGGCAGATGTTAGCTCAGGGGTAATCTCCCTCAAAAAAGAAAAAAAAGAAAGAAAGAAAAAGCCTAAATAAACTAATACCCAATAAAGAAATGAATCCATAATCAAGTCTCCCCCACTGAAAGACATCAGGTCTATGTGGCGTTACAAATAATTTCTCCCTTTATATAAATTCTTTAAGAAGACAGAAAAAAAAGAAAATCTACTCAACCCATTTTATGAGATGAGTTTTACTACAACTAGATAAGCATAGAAAAGGAACATTGCAGATTACTCTCACTTATGAAATAGATGAGGAAAAAATAAATAAATCCTAGCGAGATGAAACCAGAGGTGAATACCAACATCATGACCCAGAAAGGTTTACCCAGGAATACAAGAAGGGTTCCACATCTGAAAAGCTGTCACTGTGAGACACTGCACCGACAAAGCGAGGAAGAAAATCGCAGTCTCAGGAGTCACAGAAAAAGCATGTGACAGTATTCTCAGGTTGGGTTCCCCCAGAGGCGGCCCTGAGACAAGGATTTGAGAGCAAGTAGTGTATTTTGGAGGTGGTGGCAGGAGGCACCAGGAGGGAGTGGGGGCTCAAGACAGAAGAGGGAAGAAGCCAGTGAGTGCTGCACCTTGGAGCTGATTACTGCTGTGACCAACTGGGGCTCAGTCCCCTGGGGAATGCTGGGGATGCGGATGCAACACGCTTCGGAGTCAGCCCACGGAGAGGCAAGGACGTGGGGAATGTTTCCTCTAAGCCCCATCTGTCTGGCCAAGGGCTGCTGCCTGGGGCAGCACTTCCCCCTGCCCTGCTGAGGGCCAAGAGAACACCCCTTAACTGAGAGATGGTACAGGGCTTTGCACAGCTTCTGCTCACAGTTCTTATTTCTTTTCCTTTCCTATAGCGTTTGCTATGATCTCTAGTTTTGTGTTAAACAGTAACAGTGAAAATAGGAATTCTCATCTTGGTCCAATATTTAATGGAAAGGAATGTAAAGTTTCTCCTCTAAGTATGATGTTTACAACAGGATTGGGGCAAATGAGCTTTACACAAAAAGAAGTTTCCTGCTATTCCTAATTTGCTAATAGCTTTGATCATAGATATAGAACTTTATCAGATGTTTTTCTGCATTTATCATAAGTTCATTGTGTAATTGATCGTGTGGTTTTTCTCCTCTAGCCTATAAACATGGTGAATTGCATTGATTGAAATATTTTTGTATTCCTGGAAAGTAAATACTTCATCTCCCTTCAGAGAGGCTAAGTAACTTTCCCAAGGTCACACAGCTAATAAATGGCAGAGCTGGGATTGGAACCAAAGTAGTCTCATGCCAGAGTCTCTGCATCTGTTTGCATAACTGCTACATTCAGTTGCCTCTTGCTCATATATTTATATATTCATACTTAGACTGTTGGCTTTGGCAAATCTTACACCTAGGATTTTCCTATCTATGTCCACACATCAAATGGGCCTATATTTGTCTCTTCTTGTGCTGACTTTATCTGATTTTAAAACCAAGATACATTAGCTCATAAAATGAACTGGACATTTTTTGTTCTTTTTTTCTATTTTATGGAATAATTTAAGATGGAATTATCTGTTCCTTGTAAGACTGATATATATCATAGTTTTTAATCTGTAAATTTCCAGTTACTAGCGAGTTTGAGCATGTCTTCATAAGTTTGTTAGATGTTTGCATATCAAGTTCTTGGAATTGCTGGTTCGTATTCCTTGCCCATTTTTCTATTAGATTTCCTGTCTTACTTTTTGATTGTAGGACTTTTTTGTAATGGTTTCTTATTGGGTTTAGACATTGCCAATATCTTCCCTAATCTATCATTCATCTGTTAACTTTGCAAATTATCTCCTGTTGAGCAAAAATGCTTAATACTGAAGGAATTGGATCTATTTTTGGTCTTATTTTTTATTTTAAAAAAATCACCTTTATTGAGGTTTAATTTACATTCAATAAAAATGCACCCATTTTAAGCATAAAGCTCAATGAGCTTTTTTTTTTCTTTTTTTAGGAAGATTAGCCCTGAGCTAACTACTGCCAATCCCCCTCTTTTTGCTGAGGAAGCCTGGCCCTGAGCTAACATCCGTGCCCATCTTCCTCTACTTTATATCTGGGATGCCTACCACAGCATGGCTTGCCACACAGTGCCATGTCCGCACCCGGGATCTGAACTGGCGAAACCCAGGCCGCTGAGAAGTGGAACGTGCAAACTTAACTGCTGTGCCACTGGGCGGGCCCCTCAGTGAGTTTTGACAAATGTATACACCCGTGTAACTCTCCCCATAGTCAAGGTATGGAACTTTTCCATTGTCTCAGAAGATCACTTATGCTTCTTCACAAGTCAATTCCCATTCACACGTCCCGCCCCAGGCAACCACTGATCTATTTTCTGTCACCATATTGGAATCGTCTTTCCCAGTTTATCATGTACATGGCATATGGCATACGCCCTGTTAAGTCTGGCTTCTTTTTACTCAGCATAATGTTTTTCAGATTCATCATGTCATTGCGTGTATTCGAGGTTCTTTCGTTTTTATTGCTGAGTGGTACTCCATTGTATGGATATACCATAATTTGTTTATCCATTCAGCTATTGACGGACGTTTGAGTTGTTTCCAGTCTTCAGTTATTATGAACAAAGCTATTAGGAATATTCCTGTACAAGTCTTTCCCTGGATATATATTTTCATTTTTCTTGGGTGCACCTAGGAGTGCAATTGCTGGATCATGTGCTAAGTATATGGTTAACTTGATAAGAAACTGTCCAAGTA